AAATGCGCTAATCGTTTCTCTAATTTTTTTTTTTTTTTTTTTTTGAAATTAAAAAAAAAAAAACATAAAGAAATCTGTTCTTAAGGTTTGGAAAGATTCGTCTGACATATTAGTAAGCTTCTTTGGTAAGAGATCATCTATAAATTATTTGGAGACTTATGTTGAATACTGGTATGTAATAGTTTGTTTGATGATTTTGCATTGGTTTTTTTTTTTTTTTTTTTTTTTTTTTATAAGAAATGATTTTTTACTTTATGTATTTTAGATATATGTGCTGATGAATGAAATTACCAGAGGGATTGTTAATTTAAAGATCAGAAATTTTTGATATGGGGAATTATCTCTGAATTGTAGTAACGAGATGATAACTAGAAGTAAATAAAGAAAAAGCAATGTCAATCACTATGAGGCATATTTTGTTGAAGTTGATGAGATGAATATACTTTTATCTGAATACTTATTGATGATATTTTCCTTACTTCCAAATGCATAAATTTTCCAGAGCCTTCCCTGAGGCATTCATTCTTTTCTTCTCTTTCTCTCCCTTTCCACTATGCATTTTAATGTATCATTACAACACTTATATGTGCCATTCTTCATGCATTGTTAAGTATCTTAACTTTAAATACTGTCAACTTGATAAGAACAAAAAAAAAAAACTCTCTGACACTGAATTTATTAGGTAGTATTTCTTGTTAAAGCTAATGTGAAACCATTTGATTTCATTTTTCCAACTTTAATTTCTCTTTCAAATATGCTATTCATCGTTGCATTATATCTATATTGATATGGTAAAGTTTAGATTTTCAATCAAATTCATCTAGAGAGATATTAACGAATATATACTGCAATCATGTAACAGTATATGTATCAGATATACCTCCTAACCGTAGCTAAACTTTATCCTCTAATCGGTGGATGAGCTGATGATTGTTTTACTTTTCATAAGATTTGCTATTTTGTTGAAAGAATTCATAGTACACTCAAATATATATATATTTGTATATGGACATCTATTTGTTTGTAGAAGTGTGTACCTATATTTCTAAGTTATAAGTGTGTATGTGTGTGTGTGTACCTATTTCTAAGTTATAAGTGTGTATGTATGTGTGTGTACCTATTTCTAAGTTATAAGTGTGTATGTGTGTGTGTGTGTGTGTACCTAAATGTTTGTCAGCAAATGTATGTAAATGTGAGTTTGTATATCTATCTATCTGTCCAAATATGCCTTCGTTTGTGCTATTTGAGTAAACAAAATTGTCTCGTTTCGACCATGTCATGTCATGTCATCCTGTCTCTGTTTTAAAGTAGGAGTAGGCGTAACTTTCGCTGTATAGGCGCGAAGGTTTCTCTGTAATATTTGCTATTAGTCGTTTGAGGTCAATCGTTAAATGATGGTAAGATGAAGGGTTACTCATGTACTGCTGTTGGCTATTGCTGTTGCTGACTGACCATCATCATTCGATATGGTTTATTTCATATCTTCTTTCTTTTCACTTCGTCATCACAATGTACTCTCTCTAGGTCATCATTATAATAGTTACATTAAACTTTGAATCATTGAATATTTCACACATTTACATTAAACTTTGAAAGGCATTGAATATTTCACATTTGTTAATATATGTTTTCTGTTGAGGGAAAATATCAGCGAACAATGAATGCTACAGTATTTTTATATATTTGAAAATAATTCGCTGTAAATTATTATCATATGAATCCTTGCTAAGGAAAATATAATCTCCCAAGAGTTTTGAATTAGATTATTTCTGACTTACAATTTAATTTCTTCTTCAGATAGAGTAGTGGATTTTTTTTTTTTCTCCATTCTGCTTTTCATTATTTCCTTTTTAAAAAGACTTAGAGGAGAGATTAATTGGAATTTTCCCACTGATGGTATTGCAATAGAAATTGCATTTGTTAATAATAACTTCATGTCAAGCTTTGTAAGACTTAAACTAAATCATAATAGAGATTCTAAATTACGCATAAAAAGCATTCAACTTTAATATCATCATTGTTTCTTAATTTTAATAAGATTTAGACTTTAAAATGGTTACAAATAGGTATTCTAGGATGGAAGAATCGATCAGTAAAAAAAAAAAATTTTTTTTTTTATAGCAGTTAATTATTTTTATTATGAAAGAGATCCATGCAAACAGGATGTGTTGTATAGTATGTTGGTGAGCTACAACAAATGAAATATGAATTGAAGATTTTTTTTTTGCTGTGATTATTTGTTTTGGATATATTTCCGATTTGTTGAGGAATATTTCAACATAAAGGGTTGTGCAAAAAAAAGAGTATAAAAATGCTCTCTTTTGTCAGAATCGAATCTCATGTAATGGTTTTGTTTGTTTATTGCTAACCATGAGCTCTGTGAATATCATTTTATACTGTGAACCATTAATTAATTAATTAACCTGAGAATGAACCTGATAGACTAAATTAGATATTTAGCATCAAGAAATTGTAATCATTTTGTTTTTCACAGGTAATTAATTCTAAGAGAGAATTTAGATAGTACAATATTGAAGCTATAAATGACTATTGTATATTTTATTTCTTTATAAAATTTCTTCCTACCTCTCTTCTTTAATAATTCTCGTTCATTCATTAAAAGACTATTATATTGGATGTAAGACTAAGAATTAGTTACTGTTTTTACACAGTCTGTTGTGTTTTTTACCTTAATTTTCTTAAGTTATCAAGAAATGTTAACTGTCCGAAGAGAATTTCTATTCTAGCAGGTTGTCATTTTTCATTTCAGATGATGTGATGTCGTAAGAGAGGAATTAATGTGTTGCAATCATTGTGCTTATCATGTGCTTCATTTTTGGACTGCGAGATGCATTGCATTTAAACTCTAGGATTTTCTTTTGTTAGCATAATTTTGTTAACATTTTTATGCTTCATAATTTTACATTCTTTTTGTAATGAATAATGTAAATTTATATGAAATGAGGAGGAGAACAAAGATGACAATCAAAAATCAATTTTAAAAAAAAAAAAAAAATTAACTTTTTAAGATGGCTGATATTTCTCAAACTTGACCTTTTATACTATTCGATTGTCGATGCTCAAAAAAAAAAAAAAAATTTGAATTCTCATGCATGTGAATAGTGGTTATAGTTGATGGTGAAGAAGAGATGATCAGTTCAGAAAGGCATGTTGACCATACCCGTCGGGTAGTGACAATCACTGTATTATCCTCATTTAGGTGGAATGGAGTGGAGCGTTGCTTGTACGGGTACAGATCTGTCGATATATGTTATATGTTGGTATGGGTGTGTGTGTGTGTATGTATGTGTATGTACGAAATTGAGCAATTAGGGAGGAAGGGGAAGGTGGGGAGGGAGGGGGTGGTATAAAATTGACCATGAAAGCATCTACCATGCACAACACATCAAGGTGTGTATGTGTATGTATGTGTATGTATACATGTATAACACCCGGTAGTTTTATAAGATAGGTAGATGAAAAGGATGTTGACAGTGTGTTAACAGTCATTTTCTGGATGCCTCATGATTAGATGTCATGGTGAGGAATTGAACTGAACTGAACTGTTCGATAAATGTTGTAATCTTGATGATAGTTTTGATTTAATAGAGTTCTCAGGTATCATGATCGTATTTTTAGCTCATTTTCATTACTGAAAGTGACAATTACTGAAATATATGGAATGATTTTTGATCTGTGAAGATTAATTTCATACTTTTTAGCACATTTAAGCATTAAAAATTGAAAAATAAATTAACCAGCTTTTTATAACATATGTTGTATATACTATCTGTCATTGTTGTTTCAGACTAATTGATACATAGTGTGTGTGTGTGTGTGTGTTAACTTGCCGTAAGATAGTGTTACATTATCTTGAAAATTTTTTTTTTTTTTTTTTTTCAATGTTCTGTCGTTTAATTTATGAAACGAGAAAGTTTTCAATTCGTTCATTTTCTTTCGCTATTGTTAGCTTAGAATTATTTGTGTATAATTTAACAGAATTTTTTCTTTTTTTCTTCTTTTTTTTTCAGGCTTGCTGAAAAGGGAGATTCACCCAAACATCTATACTTGTCTAGTTGCTACGTTATACAGCTGTAATTTATTTTTGGAAAACCTGTTTGAAAAAAACAATAAATAAATCTGAAGCGATCACATTCACCGTGTGGTGGTCCGTCTCCGAAAATGGAGAACGGCAAATTGGCGGGCACCGAATCATTGGAATCGATTGAAAGTAGTAGTACCAATTCAGTGATATCTACACGAGCAGTGCCTAATATTACTGGAAATGAGCCAGTACGCACTCTATTCGTTTCCGGTTTACCAATGGATGCGAAACAACGCGAGCTTTACCTTCTTTTCCGATCCTGTCGAGGCTATGAGAATTCACTACTTCGAATAACGCAATCAAAAGATGGCGGTATTGCATCACCTGTTGGTTTTGTCACATTTTCTAGCGCAGAAGATGCTGAGATTGCTATGAAAGCGTTGCAGAGCGCACTTTTTGATCCTATCACTGGTCATAAAATTCGTCTTGAAAAAGCAAAAAGTAATACAAAAGTAGCGAAGCCTAAACAGATTTCGCCACCATTAGCAGTTCTTCCACCGCCAACCTCCGTTAATCCGGCAGCTTTTCCTCCAGGTATGCTGCAAGCTGCAGCTGCAGCTGTTGCAGCATCAGCGGCACCACCGCCACAGTCCGTTTTTGCACCACCTCCTCCACCACCAGCAATAGCTGCTCCCACATCACACCGACAGGATTTAATCAGTGCGGCATGTCTTAATGATTCACAGCTTGCCCATATTCTTAACGAAAATCATTTCCTCCTGAATTCAGTACCGCAATTTGCTGCAGCTGCCGCAGCTGCTGCTGCTGCAGCATCTCAACCACCATTTCTGTTACCTCCCGCTGCAGCTGCAATTGCTGCCGGTTTACCATTACCTCCCATTGCAGCTGCCAATGTTTCCTCAACACCTTTTTTGCAACCAAATGCTGCAGTTGCTCAATTAACAGCTGCTACACAACATGTTACCGCTGCACAACTAAATGCTGTAGCTGTAACATCAGCAAATGCAGCTGCAGCTGCTGCTGCTGCTGCTGCAAAGGCTACAGCAACAGTATCACCAGCATGCTCCACACTGTTTGTAGCCAATTTGGGAGATGGAGTCACAGAAGATGAACTGAAAGCTGTGAGTTTTTTTCTTTTACACTTTCCGCTCTATCATTTTGCTTCACTAAACTGATAACAAAATGATGATATCACACATTTGATATCTTATCCATCTAATCTCAATAATCTTTGTGAAATATCTGTCCAAGTGAGGAGGATATCAAGATAGACTAACTACTACACTGACCTATCTTTTCTCCTCATACGTTCATTTGCTTTAATTTCATTACGTCTTGCTATGAAATTTCAACTCAATAACATATATAAGTAAACATTCAAGTTTTGATTGTTCGTATCTGCTGTTGTAATTGCTAAGAAAAGAATTGCTATTATTTCGATACGAATGAACGTATGGTAGTATATAACTCAGTTTATTGTTTTGAATCTCATATAAGTATGAAAGATAATGAGTGCAATGATAAATACAATGGTAGAAATGCTCTTCTCTTGAACTATTTGTTATCATTTAAGCGCTTTTGATATATGACGGACGTTAATATATTGTGTTTGTGTGTGTGTGTGTGTCACCGAGTACAACCGAATGACTATTCTTGGTATCACCTTCACTTGAGCAATTCATTAACTCAAAAAATGTTGTTGATCACATGGAAATGTGATGAGTTGTGATTTATAGTTTCGTAAAAAAAAAATTAATGAAATCTGGAAGCGTTCCAACTTAGAAAACCATTTTAATTATCATATATTTTGAAACAAGCAAATAAGCGATTAGCTATTACGATAATGCAATTGTAGACCGTAATTAATTTTATCTTAAACTGAACTTTTACTGCGAAAATTAAAGAGAAAAAAAAAACTAGATAAGAAATACTTTGATAGTTTTGTATTTTTATCAAGTATGATCACTGAATAAGTGCAATGTTTTTATTTTCTTTTTTCCGGTTTTCGTAAGTGAGATATCACTTTTTTTTTGAGGTAAAAAAATTTTACTTCTTTCTAGATAATACTTCACAATCAAAAAATATTAAGGTGAAAATATGAAATTACTTTTGTAATCACAGAAGAAAGAAAATAGAGGAAGAATGATCCCAACATATCACTTTACTTACATCACATCACGAATCAGCTAGCAGATCACTTATTTACTTACTGCCTACCTAATCATAAAAATAAAACCGTGAATAGTTGAAAGCAGTGAGAAATTACTTTTTATGGCAAATTATGCATGCATTCTTCACAAATGCACACTTCCATATTACTTAAGCACTTACTAAAAAGGTTGAAACATTTTCTACTTATCATAACTTTTCCTGGAAAAAAAAAAAAAGATTCTAGATTTACTCTTTGCTATTTTCATCCTTTCATTTTCTCTTGTGCTCACTGAGGGAAAAAAATGCTTCTTTTAAAAAAAAAGAAAAAAAAATGCTAAAAATTGAATCTCCATTTTCTTTTTCTTTCTATATGATAGGTTCGAGCAGCCTTTAGAAGGAAATGAGACCAAAAGAAGTAAAGCCTAATCATAGTTTATTCAATTTGACAAGTTTGTTATGTGCATATTATAAAAAAAAAACTCATTTAGCAATAAGCTCTCTCTCTCTCTCTCTCTCTCTCTCTCTCTCTCTGAAAAGCAAAATTCATAAAAATATGTTTTTAGGGAGTTATGGGATTTCTCTCGATTTTGCTTAAATTTGGACAAAATTGATGTTTTTAATTTTTCTCTATCAGTATGGCAGCTGTAGTTTTTCTTTTTTTCTTTTTGTAATTTTTTAAATGCAAAATTTTACTGGAATGAAATATGGGCAATTCATTTTCAAGAATAATGGTTTTTTTTTTTTCTTTTATTCAGTTAAGAGAAACTTAATATTCAAAATTCATTATAGCCTGAAATCAATATGCAAAGGAATTCACATTAAATACAAACATTCCTCTAAAATGTATTTTCGATAGATCAGCGCGACTAAACTTGGCTATGAGTATGTAATTAATCAATTTTAGTAGATGAAATCTTTCACTTTTCTTTAGGTTTTCTGTGCTTATCCCGGATTTACACGATTACGGTTGCATACCAGGAATGACACAACTGTAGCATTCGTAGAATTTCGAGATGTGCGACAAGCTACACTAGTAATGAATGCTCTACAGGGTTGCCGTATTTCAAGCTCACATCGCGGTGGTATTCGAATTGAATATGCGCGAAATCGAATGGGAGACATTACCGGTCAATGGTAAATATTTCCCTATTTTCATATTTATTAGAATGAGGTTTAGTTAGCCAAATATCCTTCCAAATTTTCGCTGCTATTTATGATTGATCAGTAATATTATGATAAATTGAAATTAGAGGATGATCATGATTAGTTTTTTGAGCTTTTTCCAAAAGTATTCTTGCATGTTTGTGTTATTTTGCTACGAAATATTTACTGTGTTGAATGATTGAGCAATATTCATGTATCTTCATTTTAAATAGCTTATGAAATAACGGAGTATTTTATAACTTAGGCGAATATCAAAGAGGAAGAATTCAGTAACTGACGTTCATCTATTGAACAGTTTCAGAAGGATGGAGCACTAGTAGACGAACTTACTCAGGTCTTTGATCTCTTGGACGATCTTTCAGTATGTTGTAAATTTTCATATTTTAAAAATTTTTATTTTGCAAGCGAACTCAGAAACTCATCGAAATGATTCTGTAGTTTCGGTGAGTCATGTTTTTGTTGCTGATAATTATTAGTTGCATCTTCAGATTATTAATTTTCGTTTTTTCTCAATTCTTTTGTCTTCGTTTTGCTATTAAAATACAAATGTTGGAAGACAGTTTTGAAAATTCACAATGGATATGGTTGATTCAGGAAAAAATTAAACCATGATGGGTATAAATTGAATTTTGAAAGAATTTGTATATTTTCAACTGAATTACCTTTTTATATGTTAGGGAAATAACTTTCTTCCTGAAAATTTTGCTATATTTTTCCTTATCTACTTTGTGTGATAAAAAGAATATATATGTTTATACATATTAAGCTCGCTGCACTATGCTTAATTTGAATAGAATTTAATGGATCACCCCCATTTTCATCGGAAAAAAAAAATTCCAGTAAGTTTATATGGATGTTAATTTGTGTATTGTGTTTTTTAATTTCATATATTTTTCCAGTGAGAGTAAAATTTTGATCCTTTAGCGTTCTATTAAAATTTCGCAGCAGTGAGATAAAAGTTTTTGATGCAGTACAGTTGGTCTTAAATTGGTTTTTCAAAAATATTATTATCTGATAGGCCTTGTTTTGCTATTTCTTTGCATTATTTTGGTTTCTATTAAGAGGTCGCTTATTAGTAGATGGTTACTTGAATGGGTTTCTCTTTTCCATTCACCGACAATTTCGAGATACCTCGCCGTTTAGAAGTGGACTGTATACTTTTTGATCTATGCGATCTCAAGTTTCAATTTTGTTTCCTTTCCATTCTTTTGAATATTTCTTGCTTCCTTCTTTCTTTGTTTTATCTATCCTCTGAACACAGTAATAATGGCAATAAATGAGTATATAATAAGAGCAACATTGTTTAATTAAGTTTTTTTTTTTTTTTTTTTTTTTGCTGCGATATCTTTTTTGATTATATTGGTTTTTTTTTTTTTTTTTTTTGTAAGCTATAAGTTACATCGATGAAATTGACCAAATATTGTGCATTCCTTTGTTTTTGTCTTCTGAATTATTTATATGTTTGTGATTATGCTTTGTCCCTGATTCTTGTGTTTTTTTTTTTTTTTTTTTTTTTTTTTAAAAAAAACAGTGAAAAATAGATAAGGATAACGAAAAATACAAACATTTAACTCTTTGCTTAATTGGAATTTATGACATTTTTGAATAGATTGGCACAGAAAATTACGAATCATGATTGTTTTAGTATTTTTATTCCAGTAGTTTCCAAAATTGCATATGCTTATGGGATATTCAGAATTGTAGATTTTGCAAGGAAGTATGAATATTTTTTCATTTGTTATTTCTCAAAAATATTTCATTTTTTAATTTACAAAGTCATTCTTTAGAAATGATACATTCTTATTATTCTTTAAAATAAAAAATATAACTGTAGAATGGAATGAAAAAAAAAAAAAAAAAAAAAAAAAGGAAAGAAAGAAAACAAAAAATTGTGTAGATTATTTTTATTTAATATGTTGAATTACTTTTGGAAAATGCATAAATTTTTTTTTTCTTTTGTTTTTTTTTTTTCCTTTTTTTTTATAAGTTTTATTTTTGGTTTAGCATGAGACATATAAATTTCAGTTTACATTTACGCTGAAATTAATCATAATTCAGTTCGTTTTGATTTCCCTCATTCAGAAGAAGGCCGTTAATTTGACAATGAGCCTAATTAAATAAATTAAGCATCATCTTCAGAATCATCATTTGAAAATTATGCTCAAACAAACTGTCTGTAGATTTTGTCTCAATTTATTTGGATCATATCGTACTCAGTCCATTTCTTTGGATTTTTCTAGAATTTTCTAAATCTGAATTCCTTAAAGAGTTTCTAATTTTTGTTTATGCTACTTGTATGTTTGTAATTTTTTTTTTTCTTTTTTGTTTTTGTTTTTGTTTACACATTGTATATTGGTCTCTTTACAAAAAAAAAATTCAACTCAGTTACCTTATATTGCGATTATTCACTAATTTTTTTCTTCTTTTGCTTGCTTGAATACGGGTTCCGGCGAGTTGTTTGTGTGTTATGAGTTTGAGAATTTTTAATTTTTCAAGATCTTTCTGATGATATTTTTGCTCAGAAATCTTTCAGCTGTATTTTTATGCTTGCTGTCACTATCGGCATTAACATTTACGTTTGACAATAAAACTGCCATTTTAAATATTTGAAAAGATTTGAAAAGAGAGTACATTTCACAGCTGCAATATTTCCAACAATGTATCTAACTTTTTGGGATAGTAAGTAAGCAAATTAAAATTAATAAGAAATATTATTGCAGAACAAATAAGAAAAAATTTTTATGTATAAGTAAGGGATGGTTGCTGAGCAATAAAATTGGTAAATCAAAAAAAAAAAAGTTTTTTTTTTTTTTTTCTAATTTCTATAATTAATTGTTAAAATAGTTTTTGACCTTCTGTGCACCACAACTTTTCACAAATAGGTAATAGTTAAAGCCACACACACACACATACACTCATGCACCTCCATTTTTCTCTTTTTTTTTTGCATTCTCAATATGTTACCTTGAAAAGAAAGAAACAAACCTCAGA